AATACAAATCATCATATTCAGCATATTCATTAAAGTCAACATCTGTAATGTCTGATAAATCTGATTGTACATCAGATATATTGCTTTGAGAATCACTATGATTATTACTTTGAGAATCACTATGATCATTACTTTGAAAATCACTATGATCATTACTTTGAGAATCACTTTGATCAAAAAGTTCAATAACCTGTTCTTCAATAGATCCATCTGATGTATTGCTTTGAAAATCGGTATAATCAAAAAATTCAACGTCTTGTGATTCATAATTTCGAATGTTGTTTATGCAATTGAAAGATGAGACACTAGGATTTTGGTTTTCAACAAAGCTGTTTATATTAGAATTAATCTCTCCTAAACTGTTATCTAAGTTATATTTAAAACAATGTTGCTTATAATTCATATCTTTTTTTACAAATAAATTTTGCCTTTAAAGCTTGTTTTGATCATTAAGAACTCTGTTATTTTAACCAAATTGGTATAAATCACTTTATTTGGTAAAGATAAATCTTCATCACTATCATCCAAATGTTTTTTTACATGATTACCTAATGCTTGCTGATTTATAAAAACTTTCTTACAATATAAACATTTAGGCATCTTGAATAATTTACCACCAAAATGTAATTATTGAGATTTACTATTTATATATTATTGTGCAAGTTATAAACTACTTCAAATGTAATACTGGAACTTAATATCACACAATGTAAGATTTTTTTTTCTTTCCTATTTTATACCAAAATCACCTTTTAACAAACACTATTTTTGGCACCACTTGCGATTTGCAAAATATGTATTTTATTATTTTCACCTAAGATAAGAACTTAACTATGACAAGTAATAATCATTTGATTTGCCCAATTTAATTAATTATAATGTGGATATTAAAATAAACTCTGCATGCATAAACTTGTCTAAATGATTATATAATTGCATAATTTATTACTAATTAATATATGATCGGCAGTCACATAACCCAAATTATCTACGTGATGATCGATCTGAATCGGGATCGAAAGTCGTATACTCTAGAGATAGGCAAGTTTAGTAATATAATATTACTTATTATTTCTGATTATTTCTTATAGTTTTCTTGTATAATAAGTAAAATAAATAATTATTATTTACATTATTACCTTGCCCATCTCTAGTATACTTAAGAGAAAATTTATACTCAAATAATTATGCAGGAATTAGTATTGTATGAAAGTATATTGAAGTATAATAGTTAATTTGCATAAATGATGAGTAATCGATTAATTTAAAAGTCAAAATGGTGTGTCGAATTGTGATGTAATTGGTAATAGTCAAAATTTGTAAGCAAAGCAAAAATAAAAGAACCAAATACAACTCTTACTTTCGAAATAAAGATCTTCTAATAAAGTAAATATAGTGTCGAGGGCTTTTTAGTAAGACAGTAGTAATTGGTAATATGAGCGAAATTTAGTATTATAAAGCTTATTAAAGTGAGTTTTGATTCATTTGTAACTTATACTGCAGATACTTATCTTTGTTGCAGAGATGGGTCGCACTAGGAAAAAAGCTGTACCCATACGCAGGGGTGCACAACATACTTTACCTTCCATTGAACTTGCTGAAAAACAAACAAACACTCCAAGTATTTCAAGTTCTTCAAGCGTTCTTAGCACTTCAAGCATCTTCAGTTCTACTCAGATGAGATCGAATACGTTGACCGCCAAACATGTGGTTATAGAAAGCCGCTTAGATGGGTCTGATGATAACGATGGCGATTTACATGATCCAGACATTTCAAGTAATAATAAGAATCCTATAAGTCCTATTGATGATGATATTTTAGAAAATAAGTCGACTCATTTAAATTTTAAGTGAAAAAATAAAGAAACAATAAACGAAAATACAAATTTGCAGAAAAAAATCTGTAAGTTTATTTACCATTTGTTTTTTCTAATAATAATGATCAATTTATATCATTGTATATACATTTCTATTTTTTAGAGTTGGCATCAACCATTACAAGTATGCATGATATACAGCTTCAAATGTTTACTATTATTCAAGAAATGCAAACAAAAATTAACGAACTATATGTAAACTTGAAAATTAGTTCTGAGAATAATATAGAAAAAGAGTCGAAGTGAATAGAGATATAACAATTATTAAATATGCATGTGACTCTTATTAATATTAACCATTCGGATTGGTTTTAAATTCATGTTGACAGTGATATTTTAAAAATTTGTTTGTAGTTTTAATGAGGTTAATATTAATGATAACATGTAAAATCATGTGAACATAATAATAGCATCTGAATTTGTGTTACTTGATAAGTCAAAACATTTAAATTTGTATTAAGTGATATTTTAATTTCATATATAATATAATTTTCTATAATACTTTGTAATAGGATGCAATTGGTGAAGCGATTTATGCTGCAATCGAAAAAACAAAGTATCCAACTGATGAACACTTGATGAAGATATGTTATGATACATTATTGGATATAAAAGAGGTTGATTTCCAGAGTAAAATAAAGTATTGTGGTTGGAAATGCTATTTTAACAAGAATATCTGTTCTCTTGTAAGTACCTTGTAATGAGAAATTTTAATTATTTAGTTAATTAATCTTATCTGCTTTTATCAGGCTCAGTAGTTTTGCCATCAAGGAAGAAGTAACATAGTCCAATGAATTAAAGATACTATTCACAGTGAATTTTTAGATCTTGTAAAACCAAAAACAGGAAATCGACAGGTCACGCATGAAGAAGAACGAAAGTTCAAAGAAGCTAATATTACAAAAGAGTCTTATTTGAAACTTAACCAACCTGTTGACGCTAATGATGATCCGCATTACACTTATCTTAATTTGATAATTGATCATACCTTTGCAGATCCGAATACTGAAAAAAATTTTATTGCATTTGGAATGGCTGTTGCTTTAAACTATCTTGATTCTTCAAAAGGAATTAGCATGGTTCCAAGTGAAGTCACAGAACGCATGAATCACATTCTTGAAAAAATGCAAGTCCCAGATCACAAAGAATTATAATGAAAATTTATAAAATATGACTGTTTTATCTCATATTAGCACAATGAACTATTGCATATTTGTGATATGAAAAATTACACAGATTATCAGAATACTTATAGTACTAGTTTAATAAATTTTCTGCTTTAGCAAATATCAAATGCTGAATTCAAAAATCTAAGATTATTGCTATTTTTTACATTTCAAATATAAATAATGGTTATTAATCAAATGCCTTCTTATTTTATATATATAAAAAAAAACATTTTAAAAATAAAAATTCTGTCAATCTTTATTAATCGTGCAATTATTATCGTTATTATTCTTATCATTTCGAAGTTGAGTTTCAATTTTGTTGAGTTCGGATTACACTGATTATAAGGTTTATCAATTTACTATTTAAATAGTAATCTGCACGGGCCTAAAATTTAAATTTTTTTTTTTTTACACGGAGGACCAGGTTAATGACAGCCAGACCCAACGTACAGGACAGGCTATGGTATCCTGCGCAGCTGTGCAAGCCGAGCATATGGTGAGCGAATCTACAGAAGAATCCTCTACTTCCTTGAACTCCATTTCATCATCTCATA